AATGCATTGGTTTCTTCTGACGAATCAATGTTGTCAAAATGTGATGACGTAATCACGTACACTACGAAGCCTGTGTATATTCAAATAAGACGAAAAGTGGAGAATCTCCGCTTTAAAACACCTTTTAAAGCATTCAGATAGGATTAGCGGTTCAAAAGTTATTAAACATTTAAGAACAATAGTACTTTTTAGCCAAGGGCGGCTGTCTCGGTCTTTGAGGGTTAAAATAAGAGTTTACAATTTTAAATTGTAATTTATTCCTGTGATAACAAAGCTGAATTTTCAGCAGCTGTTACTCCAGACTTCAGTGTCACATGATCCTTCAAAAATCATTTTAATATGCTAATTTTTTTATTGTTTTGATTGATCGAACACTTGCTACTAATTTTATGGAAACAGTGATAATTTATTTCAGGATTCTCTCTCTCTTTTTTTTTTTTTTGCAACAATGTAAATGTCTTTTGAATGGAGTCTACATGTGGACAGGCTATACTAAAATTAGGGCTGGCAATGGATTAAAATAATATTTTAATTAAATTATTTGAGCTCCATATAGCTGTGAGATTGTGTTCTGTGCTCACAGCCCCTTTTTCATTCTGTGTTGCCTGCTCTTATGGTTTAAAAGGGTGCAATGCCTGTAGTAACAGCTGAGACTCACAAAGACAATGCAGGACATTCCACTCACCGTTTGATTTTGTCATAGTTCTCTCGTTTGTAGTCTCCTTCCTGAATAAGCTGCTTGGTGTCAGCAAGTTCCAGGGTGAGTCTCTGACAGCGGATTTCCAGCTCTGAGCGTGCTCTCCTCTCCTCCTCATAGCTCTGGTCGGGATATGGGAAAGCAGCAATGTATGTAAATAAGAAATAACAGTAGTAATGCCAATAAGAAAGATTACTTCACAGATGTCTGGAATACTTGCTTCTGCATTTATACCAGCGCAAATTAGAACAGCCAATGAAAACAGTTGACATCTTGCAACTCAAAACTGCTTAAGCTGTTAAAGCGGACTAAATGATACATATGTCACCAGAGAGAAGTCTGTCATTTTCATCAGAATTTCCACATTTTAATTAAATCTTACAAGATCAAAACATTAGAAAAGATTAAACATATGGATGAATAGAAATGGATGAATTGTTCAAGTAAATTACATTTATAACAAACATTTAAGAGTGGGATATATATATATATATTTTTTTTCTTTCTTTTTTTCAATTTCACACTGACTTTAAAGACTGTAGTAAAAAAAGAAACTTTTTTCACACCTCCATTAGTGATCTAATTTGGTTACGATGACTGTCCAGATCCTCATTCAGGTTAGTCTTTTTCACTTGCAGCTCAGTCACAAGAGCTCTCAGAGGGTTCACAACCTCGTAGAACCGAATCTATGTGGAGAAAAAAAAACACATATATATATATATATATACACACACACACACACACACACACACACACACACTATAGCTTTTAAATCTGCTCAGGGTTTGTCCACAAGTTTGTTAGTGGGAGTAACCAATAAATAAACCTAACAATCTTCATTCCCAACTCCAGTTGATAATTCAGTGCTTACCGCCACATATTCAGGGATGGTGAGTTTGTCCTCAGGCAGTTCCTTCAGCTCAGTGTACTTCTCCTCAGACAGCTCCACGTCCCTCAGGCTCCTGCGGAGATCACCTGCTCGATCACACAGCTGATGGTTTGTCTCTTCCAGCTGCTTCTGTCTGAGCATGATGGTGTCCATTTCCTGCTTCCTCAAGGCTTGCTGCTTCCTGCATAAGCAGAAGCCACATTCAACCCTATAAAGCCTATCATATTTGTATCATGTATCATATTTGATATATGAATTTCTACGGCCTCTAAATGACCAAGATGATCAAAACTTTGCTGAAAGACCTGTTGTGCACAATCTACTACATACTTTTTTAGCAAGTAAAAGGTATTTCGGCCTTTTTGCTGTGAAATCTTTACTAATTTTGACAAAGTAAGAATACATTTTATATTTCAAGATATTTCAAAATGAACTTTTACTGGACTGCAGCAACGTAGGTTTACCTGATTAAACACTACTTGATTAAGCATTTTCAGAAAAATCATATTAAAATGTGAGTATCAAATATGTTATATCAGGCTTTTGAGAAATGTTTATTTGTTCATCTCTCAATCATAATTGTATTGCATTTCATTATGTTTTGCATCCACAATAAAAATTACAGAGCTTTGATCATGAAACTAAGCATTTAAATATAATCTTACTAAAACAATTTTTGGAGATTCAGAGTGACAACTAATATGTATATGCATTTTATGTAAGTAATCTGTTATTCTGTTATAAATATCTCATTGATTTATTTTACAAGCTATCAATCTTACTTTTTGGCCATATAAATAACAACATCTGCACCAAATAGTATATTTCTGTCTCTGAATAAAAGTGAGATTTTTTTCCTCCTCGAGTATGAGCTCCATATTCTCACTATATCATACTATATGAGCCATATATAAGCCTGATGTATCAAATATGATGCATCAAAGCATAAAACAATTATGCAAAGTGTGCAAAGTACTTTTTATTTTATATTTTGTCTAAAGCTTCAATCAAGTGTTCAATTTAATTATTATAATCATTAATTTAATTATATTCATTAGTATTTAGAATGCCATGTAAAGTGGAATGCAAATGGAGTAGGCCTAATCATTTTATTTTATTTGTGTTTAACAATAAGTAGGCGTGATTCGAAATGGCTAACGTTTTATTCGCTTAACATTTCTGGCCTGTTTTATCAGACCAAATGAAAAAATAAACAAAACAAAAAATGAAACCACTAAAATTAAAAAAGGCACATTTATCAGGCAATACCAAATTGACCACTGACAGATTGTACATCCCTACTTCCAAAAGATATTTTTCTCAGTAAAACTGTGTAAATGTACCTGTTTTCATCCTGCTGTAGTTTGAGCTGGCTGTCCAGACGCAGAGCAAGCACCTGCTTCTGATGGAGAGCATCGTTCAGCCTTTCCTCCAGCTCTTCGGTCTACAAATGAATGTGCAAAACAATCATTTTAACACTTACGGCTGAACAAACACAGCTGAAATACTTTAAAAACTGCTTTCAATCTAATGTAGAGAGTAGTTTTGTATTCATCAACCATTACCTTGGTGAGGTAGTCCACTTTGAGGTTGTCGATGAGCAGATTTTTCTGTGACAGCTCTATCTTCAGTTTTTGAAGGGTATGAAGCAGCTCTTTTCTTTCCAGGAGCTGTTTTGTCACCTTCCCTGCCCCATCTTTCTCATCCGAAGACGATATGTCCTCTGTGGGGACTGTTGTCTCCAGACTGATGTCCTCAGACTCGATGGAGCTGGAGATGTTTGCCGTGGCGTCTCTTGGCTTCTTAGGTGGCATCTCGACAAAGCTCCAATCCAAAAGTCCTACCGACTTGTCATGCGAGATAAGAAGACTGTTCTTCAAAGCTGGAAATGTAGCAGTCAAGCGGCAGGATAGGAGCTCAAACGCTCAAGTGAAGAATTAACGGATAAGCGATGACAGCTGGACAAAGCAAGGTGACAAATTCGGTTATTTCAGGTTAACCACCTGACTTTCACAGCCTCGTGACAAGAAAACACGACAAAGTAATCATTTATGTGAGGCGTCAAAGTTTAAAATGTCTTATGTTGGAAAAAGTGTTTTATGATTAAAACGGGAACTTATTTATCACACCGACTGTTGTTTTTAAGCGTCCCGCCTCCCATAGAAACAGCAATGGCTGACAACAGAGAAGAGAAGTGACGTTTGCGTTAAAGAGCGTCTGATGGAAAATAACGCGCCATCTGTAGGATTCCGCCTGAACAGGACTCTTAATTTGAAATTTTCCTAAAATTCTAGACCGGATATAAGAGAATGTGTTTATTGTATCGTAGCATATAATTTATTGGCATTACAGTGGTTGGAAGGAAATAAACAGAACCAAAATGTAATCATAGCTTCTGACAGCTTATCTGCTCTATCTAGTATTCAATCTGGGAAAACATCATGTAGACAAGATATCATATACCAGATATTCAACTTACTTTTAATACTGTATGATAAAGGGCTGGATGTTTCCTTCCTTTGGGTTCCTGCTCATGTAGGGGTGGAAGGAAATGAGATTGTAGATATTCTGGCAAGAGGAGCAATAAAGCATGAAACAGTTGATATACAAATACCGTTATGTAGAACAGAAATCAAAACCATTATTAAGGGACATACAAGCAAAATATGGCAAGAATACTGGGACATAACTGATACTGGACGACATCTGTATAACATACAAAAACAAGTAGGCTTAAATAGTATTAGGCAGAGCAGGAATCCAAAGGAAGGAAAGATAATTACACGTCTTAGAATAGGTCATGCTGGTTTAAATTTTACATTACAGAGAATAGGAAAACACCCTACTGGTCTTTGCGACCACTGCAACACACAAGAGACAGTAAAACATATTTTATTAGATTGTAAAAGGTATGAAGAAGAAAGAAGGGAGTTAGAATCACAAGTTGGAAAACAAAACATGACAGTGGGAAATCTGCTAGGGAAAACAATGTCTAGGGAAATATATAATCTCCTAATGAATTATTTGAAAAATACTGGGATAAGTGAAAGAATTTGATGGAGATATATAGGGGGGAAGGAGAATGTGTGTATGTGTGTGTGTATATATATATATATGTGTATATTTGTGTATGTATGTATATATATATATATATATATATATATGTATGTATGTATATTTGTGTATAGATATTATTATTATTTTTTTCTCTCCTTGTCCTTTCTCTTAAAGTACTGCAGTCCAGTAAGTCCAGTAGGTGGCGGTAAATGCACCTTTAAGTTGGTTTGCCAACCGCCAATAAAATTTAAAGAAGAAGAAGTATCGTAGCAAGCGTCTACACTGCCGGAAAGATATAAGAAGAAGAAGAAGAAGAAGTATCGTAGCATATTTCCTGGGTTTGTGAACGAATAAATGTGTGTTTTATTATTAGTTCTTCTGACACAATAATTTTTGCGATGTCTACTCAAAATATAATTGGATCCGCTTTGACACCGATGATGGAAAAAAGCAAAAATGATGATTCAGATGAAGAAGGCGCAAGTATGTTAACGTTACACATTGTAGCAGCTGCTTTGTGAACTGCAAAATATTTTTTTTATTATTTCGTATTTGCAAATGCATAACAAGGCTGGTTGCCTTTAGATGTTTTTCCCCTTTTTCCCCAACAACAGTTAATCCATTCAGTCCTTTAGTTTTAATTGAAGTATAAATGAATGCACAGTAAATAATACATGCTGCCTCCAGTCATAGGTCCAGCTTTGCCTCCGAAATATAAAGCCTCAGAGTCCTCCAGCTCATGTGAAGACAGTGATCAAGAGGAGGTTGTGTTCAAGAGAGCCAAATACTCATCATCATCATCATCATCATCATCATCTAGGAACCGGCCTTCTTCAAAGTATGATGCTTGATGGTTTTCCAGATACATGTGTTTCTCAGGGATTCATAGTTAATGAAGTGTTTGGTCATAAATAAACCACTTTTGATATATGCAAATTATTTTTATGTTGTGTTGGGAGATAGTCAACCTTATAAAGCATACTGTATCATATTTGATAAATAAATTTGGAAGGCCTCTAAATGATCAAAACCGTTGAAAAACCCGCTGTACACAATCTACTACAAGCCTTCTGTCATCTGATCTGTACTTGCTAAAAATGTCCAACTTAGGTTTACTCGATTATCTTTTTTTTTTTTTCAAGAAAAGTCTAATTAAAATGTAAGTATGAAATATGATCCATCAGGCTTTTGAGGAACGTTTATTTGTTCATTTCTCAATCAACATGGTATTGCATTGCATTATATGTTTTGCCTCCACAGTAAAAACTACAGAGCCTTGATCACAAAATTAAGCATTTAAATATCACCTTAAGATGGATATGGAGTGGTAGCTGATATTTATGTGCAATTTTTTTGTGGTTAAATTTGTTGTGGTTCTTTAACAGCAGCAGGAGCAATGTGAAAGATGAGATAGATATAAAGCAAGTCGATAAGGATGAGGAGGAGGATGATGATGGTTTTTTTGGTCCAGCTCTTCCCCCAGGATATCAAAAGCGAGACAAATCACCAAAGGGGTAATACACACTTGATAATAGTATGCCACATAATCATTTGTAGAGCAATTTCAGCATCCCAATCTAAGTCGTGGATGAACTACATTTTGCATCTCCAGGCCACCTTTACTAGGACCTGCACTCCCTCCAGGATTTAAAAAACAAGAGGATGATGATGATGATGATGATGATGAAGATGCAGAAGATGATACCAGAGGGTTTTTAGGACCAGCTTTACCACCAGGATATCAAAAGCTAGACAGATCTCCTGAACGGTAACAGGAATTGACAAAAGTACTACTCTACACATTTTTTTTGTTGTGTAGAGTTGGTAGTATCACACACACATAGTATCATATTTATTCTAATTTTACATGCAAATGTAAATGTTGATATAGGTTTTTTTCCCCTCCCCTGCAGACCACCTGTAGGACCTGCTCTACCTCCAGGCTTTAAAAGACAAGATGCAGATGAAGATGAAGAAGAGGGAAAACGAGATGCTAGAGAGTTTTTATTACCAGCTCTACCGCCAGGTTATACACCAGCAGAGTCAAGCGGTGAAGAAGAAGATGATGATTATGTCATTGGACCCATGCCATCAAAAGGACCATCCCAGGACTCTGTGGCATTGGACATTGAAAGAAGAGCTCAAAGAATGAAAGACAAACTTACAGGAGTAGATGTAAGTGCTTTTTATGTTTTTTTTTTTATCAATATTTTTTTAATCTATTAATTCAGCTAGTATTTTGGGTATATTATTATTATTATTATTATTATTTATCATTTACTATATTATTATTTGTTTTTGTATATTGTATATTTTTCTTCTTTTAACTTTTTGTATATTTCTATCTTTGCACATATGCTTCTAATTTCAAGCCTTATATACTTCCCTTTTTTTTCAGTTTACATACTTCAAACCTCAGGACAAGTTATTTTGCTGTTCTTGTACAATGACAATAAAGAACTTGACTGATTAGGTTTGTTCAACATTAAAAGAGATGTTGATTTATTCCAGTGAGTGGGCAGACTAAACAATCTCGGACTCTTCTGCTTTTAGACTGGCTCCAAAGTGCTCAGAGAGAGCTGGATGACAGAGTTGCCTCCTGAGTTGCAGCATGTGGGCCTGGAAGCACGAACCTTTAAGAAAAGATCAGGCCCTGAGAACAAAGACCGCTCAATTTGGACTGACACTCCCGCTGACCGTGAGCGAAAAGCTAGGGTGAGTTAGCGATAGATGTAATTGAGTTCACATTCAGAAATGTGGGGATTGTTGTGGAGAGTCATCATAGAATTTCCAGTGATATCATATGTGATTTTGCAGGTGATACAAGGTTGTTGTTGTTGTTTTTTGGCCATTGGTTTTTGGAAAAGAAGGATTTCAGGGACTGTTTTGAAATTCCCTTCTTGTTTGTCTTGCTTAGGAACGACTAGAGGCTAAGGAAAAAGGTGAATCTGCCAAGGATGATGGACCTTGTCTGTCTCACAAAGAGCTTGAGATGGCTGAAAAAGTTTCAAAATATAATGTAAGTTCGGTTAAATCCAGCTTTAAGATTTATTACAAATTGTACTTGAATGAGATATATATATTACCGGTAAAAAGTTTGGAATACTTTTTTTTTTTTTTGAGCATTTATTTGATCCAAACTACAGTAAAAACAATTTATTTTGGAGTAGCTCACTCTGATGGACCATACTTTTAGTTTGCTACATGCAGCTGTGACTGCTTAAGTATAAAAATGTGAATTTCAGTCTCGGAATGACCATCTCTTTTTAGGAATCCAAGCGTGGTGAATCTCTCATCAGTATGCACACTAAGAAGATAAAAAGAAAAGCTGAGGAGGATGCTTCAAAGCCTGTGGAAAGAAGACCCTTCGACAGAGACGCCGACCTCCAAGTCAATCGGTTTGATGAGGCTCAAAAAAAAGCTTTGCTCAAGAAGTCACAAGAGCTGAACACCCGCTTTTCACACAGCAAAGACCGCATGTTCCTATGAGGGACATTCAGCAAATGTATCTCTTGTTGTCAAGGATTTTTTTTAAAGGAACTTTGTACTGCATTGGAATCCTTGCAGCAGCATCATCATCATCAAACCATTATGTGCTTTGTTGACAATTATATGTAAAATTTAGAGGACCTACTGAGGTTCCTCCTAAATTAGCCTTTTATATGTCTATTGTCTAATTGTAAAAGATGATGCATTAAATCTCTCATCAGTATGCACACTAAGAAGATAAAAAGAAAAGCTGAGGAGGATGCTTCAAAGCCTGTGGAAAGAAGACCCTTCGACAGAGACGCCGACCTCCAAGTCAATCGGTTTGATGAGGCTCAAAAAAAAGCTTTGCTCAAGAAGTCACAAGAGCTGAACACCCGCTTTTCACACAGCAAAGACCGCATGTTCCTATGAGGGACATTCAGCAAATGTATCTCTTGTTGTCAAGGATTTTTTTTAAAGGAACTTTGTACTGCATTGGAATCCTTGCAGTAGCATCATCATCATCATCATCAAAACATTATGTGCTTTGTTGACAATTATATGTAAAATTTAGAGGACCTACTGAGGTTCCTCCTAAATTAGCCTTTTATATGTCTATTGTCTAATTGTAAAAGATGATGCATTAAAATGTCTATAATTTTGTGATTTCTAAAAGTTTTTAGTCAGCCTTTTTAATACCAAGTAATGAATATATAAGTATTATTGTTTATATCCAGTGATAGCATGTTATTCCCCTGAATTCTGACAGTTTTATGTTTTGGGGTCATGTATTGTTTACCAGAGTGTGCTTTCCTCATAGAATATTCCAAGTTCGTGTGATACTTTTTGTTGTGTCATTACTATATATTATAGTAATGAGAATCAACATTCATAATGATAATTATTAATGTTACAATGCAAACAATCATGAAGGTGAATTTTAAGGATGCAAGTCATAATTATTTGCAGAGTAGAGGCCATAAGGCTCAACTGAATTGTTTCTGGGACCTTTTTATGCTATCATAAATGTAAAGTGCGATCATTCCTGTGAATAAATACCTCTAAAAAAACATGTTCACTTCTAAATAAGTCAGTTGCATTTACCAGAAATTAGGGCAGTGTGTTTATTGACTATATAAAACGACAAAGCGACGTAGAAAATATCTCCTTTATATCTTAAAATATCCTACTCTAGCTCTACTATTACTGGTTGAGCTAAGAAAAAGAAAATGCTTGTTTATTTGTTAACTGTTCCACAAAATCTCGGATTTTGTAAATGCGTAGCATCTGCATTAACCAACGCGTTTTTGTTTGGTTTTTGTCCTAACGGGCTACCGTACAACCGGCTCTGTTGATGGAGTGTTAGCTAACGAGTGTGCGTAGCGTGGAAGAGGTGCACTAAATCCACATGAAATAGCTAGAATAGAAACATTTAAACTATTAACAAACATGTCAGACAAAGGAGAGGTGGATTTAACCGGGGCAAAGCAGAACACGGGTGTATGGCTGGTCAAAGTAAGTGCTTTAAATAGCTCGATGATGAACAGCTAACGATACAGCCAGTTGTACATGGCTTTAGCATCTACAAATACCTCGCATGGCTATATGGTTTATATGTTGTGCAGTGTAATTATTAAAACCACGTTAAAGTGGGCCTTGTTTTAAAGCTATGTTTGCATACACTTCATAAAGGTCCCAAAGTATTTGTCACAGCAATGGGCCAAAGCAACAGGGAGAGGAGAAGTTGGAAAGCTCCGAATATGCAAGTATGTAGCAAAAATAGGTATCATCTACATGTGATGGAGTACTACAGGCACAACGTTAATTCAAAACATTAATATTCATACAATTGTTGTTGTTTGTACAGGAATCAAGGCAAAGCCGAGGTAATACGTATGTCTTTAAACATTCAGTGTTTTATATTTGAGACTTGTGTCTTTAGGTGGATTCAGTGTTCTTCTGATTGATTGACAGGTGTCTTTCACACTCAATGAGGAGCTGACCACCGTGGACACCATTGGGGAGAAAGCCTCTATGGTACGGGCCCCTAGAGATCATCCATTCACTCTGCAGACGGTCGGTGGACAGACTCTGACTGTTTTTACTGAAAACGCTTCAGGTGAGAACCAGGATGTCACTACATGCAATGCTGTGAACTGCTGTGCATTTAAATGATATGAAGATAAAGTACAACATTTGTTGTTAATTGATGAGAATGTCCATGTAGTGTTATATTGTAAAAAGTGGATTATAACAAGCGCAAAAATATAAATATATAAACGCAGTAAATTAGATAACCATTTTTAATAATACATAGTTAGATCTTTCTTTATTAAGTCTTTTTACAAAAAATTATGACTAATTATTTGATCATTACTATTATTTAATATTATGTTAATATCTCAAGATTTTAAGAGCATTTTTACTTTTTTATGATAAAGAGTTTTAGTACTTTTTGGGGACATCATTTGATGTCCAATGTAAAATGATTTCAGAACTGCTCGATTAGAATACATAGAAGATGGTCACTTAAGAACAGTGTGCACTTTAAATTGTAACATATGTTTAGCACGTGCAGGATGAAGATGCATCAACCAATGTGTTATAATAGGAAATAAATAGAAACATTTGATAATTTAGTAGTTATAGCACAACATGTAAAATAATTTACAGAAAATGTTAAGGATACCTTTCTGGGTAATCTTTTACAGAGTTTATACACTTTTGATATTTTTTATTTATATCTTTCTTTATATAAAGAATCAACTGTTCTATTTAAAATTGTATTTGGACAGTTTAGTTGAATAACTGAATTACAGATGACAGACAAGGCAGTGTTCATTTGAAAGGTAAATTTATTATACGCACAGCATATGAATATATACATATTTAATTGCCCATATTTTAACTGAAAATATTCATAATAGCAACAACACTATGAAGTGAATGATTTTACTGATCTCAACCTATATATTTGAATGAAAAGCAGAGATGTCTGAGATATAATACTTATGTAATGTTAGTTATTTACATATTAATAAAAGTTATTATAAAGTGTCATAGTTTGTTTTCCTGTTAACTGAACTTTTGCTTTCAAACAGCTCATTTGGTAAGTCATTCCTTGCCATCTCTGGGATTTCCTGTACAAACTTCAGTTGCCTCATACTCTTTTCCTCCAGTTCTATTTAATTTCTCTTGTTAAGTTTTTTTTATGCTGCATTTACTTGTTAAAAAAAAAAAAAAGTAATATTGTGAAATATTATAAAATCTTTCTCATATTAAATTTTAGAATTTAATACATTTTAAATTGTAATATATTCCTGTGATGGCAAAGGTGAATTTTAGCCTAGCTTAATATTTTTTGGTGGAACAGTTATGCTTTTTTGTTGTTGTTGTTGTCAGGGTTCCTACGCAGTTTGGAAAAGTATGAAATTTGATTTGAGTAATTTCCAGGTCTGGAAGAGTATGGAAAAAAGAAAGCAGAATATGGAAAAAATATTTGAATTTCCAGACTTTTGCCCCTATTTAGTTTTGTATAATAGAAAATTATACATTTACTAGTGATTGTGGTGTTTTAATGGTAGAAGACATTAGAATGGGCCTTCAAATATCACTGATTTTGGAAACCAAATCTACTCACTGCCTTAATTATTCCTTGATTAATGTGGAGTTGTGTTGTGTAGCTTGGGTGTGTGTGCATGACCAACTCTGTATAGTTTCCATGCTAATTCTTGTTTTTCTGTTGTGAAAGGGAGGATTTCTTTAGTTGTTGTGAAGGTGCTTGAGTTCCAAAGCCTGGTCACTTCTCTTCTGTTAAGTGTCCTGGGACCAGTTGTTCAAAAAAAATATTTGAATTTCCAGACTTTTGCCCCTATTTAGTTTTGTATAATAGAAAATTATACATTTACTAAAAATAAATTTATCATACAAGAAGTGTGTTTTCATGGCAGCTGTTTAGTCATTCTTTAGTGACTGTCAAACTGAATGAATTCAAGGTGCACTTTATTCATTATGCAAAAATACAGGTTATATTGCAGGTTTTTTCTCAGGATATTCTTAGCACCATATTACAGAGCCTCTAAAAGGACCTTTGCAGGACCTGTGTGTGCACAAGAAACCATTAAACTTAGCATATAGGACAATGCAATGCACACTGATTCATCTATTGTGCCATCAGCCCATTTTGCTGTGTGGTTTGGCTGCCACAGAGTAGGCTATAAGGACTTGAAATATGACGTACTGCCCTAACGAAAGCCAGATTTTTAACACTTTTTAAAAAAAAATATATATATACAATACCAGTCTTTTTATAGACCATTAAACTTGGCAAATAGAACAATGCACACAGCCATATTATCAGCCCATTTCGTGTCATGGTTTCTCTGCCACCACAGAGGATGTTAAAGTGCACATTAGGCCTTGATATTAGAGGTACTACCCTAAGGAAAGCCAAATTTCGAGCAAATAGATCTCTATTAATTCATGTTCATCCATGCTTTCGTTTTCTTCACAGTAGTGTTGTCACGGTACCAAAATGTCAGTATTCGGTACCAATACCAGTGAAAATCCACGGTTCTCGGTACCAATTTCGTAAAAAATTTAAAAAAAAAGCCCAACACTTCTGAATGATATGACACAAACAATGTTAACCATTTGTACATTCTCTAATACGCATATTTTAGATTCACAATTCGTTTAAAAGTCTCTGGTGTGTAAAAATCGTAAATGTCACCATGTTCTCCTGTTTTTTTTACCCTAATAAAAGTTATAGGAGCATTAAATAGTTAATAAAGAAACGTCATTCTAATGCTCATTATATTAGCGCTAGCCGCAATTATGCTAATGATTAACTACTCTAATAACAGCGTTCATTTCAATCCGACATTCAAATTAAAATATTGAATAATATTCATAACAGAAGCGGTGTTTCCCACAGACTTGCACTTTATTTGTGGCGGCATATATATGCAAATTCATTCTCTGCCAGCAGGAGGCGCTTGTAGAGCGGGAGAAATAGAGGTTTCCCCGGTAACGGCTGTAATCAAATAAGCCTGCCCTCACAAACGCTGCTCTGGCATTACAGGCAAGATGAAATGAAAATGACATCCATAATTTTCTGAAGACAGTCGGTTTCCTTCAGAAATATAGTGATATAAAAACCCCCGCACCGGGTTTCGACTTTGACATGTGCAGTGCTCATGTTTATTCAACGAAGTCAAAGCCTTTTGGAAAATCTATTTGTGGCGGTTAGTTTTGACATTAATAAATAAATCAATGTATGGGAAACACAAATATTAAAAATTTAAATGAAACTTACCTGCTTGAACTCTTTCATTTGATCCGGGTGTCTGTCTTTAAAGTGTTTTGTTAGTTTGATGTGTTTCCTCATTTTGAGGTCGCCACGTCTCAGTGCTTTTATGAAGAGAGCGCATCTGCGCACCTTTCGGATAGTGCATCAAGAACCGGGTTGACCGGGTACTCGGTACCACCGGTACTTTAAAAAACCTAGTACCGTAATGTTTTTATTTTTTTAGTACCGACTTGGTACCGAAGTACCGGGTCTTTTGACAACACTACTTCACAGTAAGATGGCAGTGACGCACAAAGGAAATGGGTTATAGTTTATAAAACTAGAAAATGCGTTAGCAAGCAAAATATTCCAGTGTGCGTGTGAATAGTTTCTCGAGGGCATGAAAAACTTTCTTGTTTGCATGCAAAAGTCTGTATGTATGTTTGCAATAAAATCATTGAAAAAAAAAAAAAGAGAAAATAAATTTTTTAAAAAAGACTCAAGACTACTATATACAAAATATAAAGCTGAAAATAATGCTGTATGAACTGTTTGTTAAATATGGTCTGAAAATCTACTGAGAGGTTTGGAAATTTGAGTTTTGAAATGGAAAATGTGTAGGAACCCTGTGTTGTTGTTTTCAGGATAATGAATAGTTTTTTTGTTTTTGTCACTTTTGATTACTTTAATGCATCCTTAAATAGTATTAATATTATTAGTATTAAGTATTAATTTCTTCTTCTTCAAAAAAAAAAAAAAAATCCTGACCCCAAACTATTTGGTAGTAAACGCAAGTTTTTTAAAAAACAATTTTTAATGATAAATACACCGTTTTATATGAATCTCCACATCCTTGAAGACAGGGTAGGGACTTTTGGTTTGTGGTTTTTGGATTTAGATAAATTTCCTCAATGGCTTCAGTAAAACTAACTCATGAACTGACTGATCAGAGGCTCTGTGTGACTTGTTGGTCGTATCTGCGTTGTTTGTGTCTATTTGTGCGTTTGCTTTCGCTGACTGCTGTGTAAGAAGCTGCCGTGAGGGTTGGCCTGCCGTGATTACTTTGGCATGTTCTCATGTTGCCATCCCTCTCGTAGGGCAGTCAGATGCCGAGGCCGGCGGCTCAGGTACAGGTACAGGCCCAGGTGAGTGCTCACCGTCGCCCCCTGCTTGAGTGGAGGTCCAGGATATAATGATCTAATGACCTTTGATTTGACAATCAGCCAACAAAAAAAGCATTTAGAAATGCTTTCTGTGACCTAATTTAAAGAATCGGTGTATTGAAAATTTCACAGCCTGGAGCAGCGAATGTACAGAATGCACTGTTGGCCCTTTTACTGCTGATGTAATGACTGAGCAGTAATGGGCTGTGTGTTGCAGCAGCGATTGCATAGTTCCAACTGTCATTGAGTATTAATGTCTCTCTTCTCTCACAAAGATAAAATTGCACTGGAAGGAGTGGTGGTGCAGAGAGCTGAATGCAGACCGGCCGTCAGTGAAAACTACATGAGGCTAAAGAAGTATGTTCAGATATGCACACACTAGCTCTGTTCCAAAAATTGTGTAATGCCTACACAGAAAGCATTATAAATTCTCATAGAAACTCATAAAGGATTAATTTATGGACCAAAAGCTCTATATGTGCAGCAACTCTGTGTGCCACACAAATATCCTGAACTCGCAACACTAGCAAGTGAGCACTAACCTAACTCTAAACCTTAAATGAAAACTTTTTTGCATTTTTAAAAAGAGAAAGAAAATAGTTTTTTTTTAGGTCTATACAGGTCCACACACAATCTATTTTAAGACCTGTGATGTCTGATACATAAACTTCATTATGCTTATGGCCAGAACTCATAAAGGATGTTGTGTTATTTTGCAGACTGCAGATCGAGGAGTTATCTAAACCCATGAGGTTCTCTCAACAGCTCGACAAAGCAGTTACCACCAACTACAAACCGGTGGCTAATCACGCCTATAATGTAGGTCAAGCTTTTGCATCGTCCAACAGATGTCTGAAGTATCTGATATGCAGTTGAATGTTGATGCACACTCTGTTTGTTCCTTTTTTTTTTTTCCTCAGCTGTACTATGAAAAGAAGAAGAAAGAAGAAGGGAAGAGGGCACGAGCAGATAAGCAGCAGGTGCTGGACATGTTGTTCTCTGCTTTTGAGAAGCATCAGTATTATAACATTAAGGATCTGGTGGACATCACAAAACAGCCTGTGGTGAGTTACATTACAGTAAGACTACGTAACGCACACAGACTACTGTTCAGAAGTTTGGGGTTGGTCATTGTATTTTATTTATTATGTTTTAATGTTTGAAAGAAGAATGTGTGAAAGAAGAAATATTATAACTAATTAATTAACTGTTTTCTGTTTGAATCTATTGTAAAATGTACAATTTATTAAAAAAGTGATTCCTATGATGGCAAAGCCATTACTCCAGTCTCCAGTGTCGCATGATCCTTCAGAAATCATTCTAATATGCTGATTTGCTGATTAATATTTCTTAATATTATCAATGATGAAAACAGTTGTGCTGCTTAATATTTTTTGCATAAATTGTGAGAACCATGGTACATTTTTTTCAGGATTTATTAATAAAAAGTTAAATAAACAATTATTGGAAATAGAAATATTCTGTAACAATGTAAAAGTATTTACTGTCATTTTTGATCAATTTAATACATGCTTGATGAACCGTAGTGCTCACTACAAGTCTTCCTTTCTTATTCTCTAGATTTATTTGAAGGAGATTCTTCGAGACATTGGCATATACAATGTCAAAGGCACCCACAAGAACACCTGGGAACTCAAACCAGAGTACCGACACTACCAGAACGAAGAGAAGAGCGACTGATCATTTTCAAAGCTTGTTACCATTGGAACTGAGTGGCTATGAAAACCTGAAAAGCCAACTTCCCCAATAAGTTCAAAATGTTGTTTCTGAATAATTTCTTCAAGGATGATTTAGTTGTTTTTAGAGGTGCATCAGAAAACTGTGGCATTTTATAATGCCAAGCAGTTTTTTATGCTCGTTATATTGAGTGATATCCATGAAAAAAAAAAAAAAACCTAGTAAGAGTTGTTCAAATCTTCCGTCATCTGAAAATGAAAAGAACTTATCTTCTCATCTTAATGTTGTGTATAAAAGGGTGATGTTGGATTTTTTCTTATTTAAAGAAACATTGATAGAATAATGGTAAACAGTTGTTTAATTCAGATTTAGTTTTCTGATTGAAACACTTATTTTAGATGGTATTTTGTGTTCTTAAATGCTCTTGAAATAAAGTTTTTTTTTGTAAAAAAAATTTATAATTTCCATGTTTCTGCACAAGATGTGAAACTATTTTTTTACAATTCACTCAGCAGGACTGGGGTTAAATATTTAAATAGTTAAAGTTCAAATAAACTATTTAAAATCAGATACATTTGATTTGTTAAATAAGTGTGACCATTATGAAAGCAACATTTATGGCAATGTGGTTATGAAAAAAACGAGAAACTCAAAGCAGCTCATTATCAAAAATGGGGTCATTATTTAGCACCAGAACCAATGATATTGTGCACCAGCAAATCTATCTCTTAGAAAATTCTGTAGGTACCTGGTTCGGTTACAAATGATACCAACAAACTGGATAAGCATTAAGTGTATATGTGTGGGACGTCTGCAGGACATTAAAGATCAGCCTGAATAATTGCAAGGCTCAATAGGGGTGAAGCTTAACACTACACAGCATCGTTATGCATTTGGCATTCTCTATACTGATGCTAAAGACACTTTCATGTGCTTATCAGGGACTTAAAAGACAATTCACAACACCACTTTCACATGCAAATGTCAGACAACCATCTTCACCCAAAAACCAGGGGCATTTGTGCTTTTAATACACATCTGAATAAGCCTCAACTGTTTGCTCACACAAATGCACTTATTATAATCTGTAACTTAGCATAACTTTTGTCTAAACTCCTTATTGTGGCATTTAAACATTTGCTTTTGTTGTAAAGTTTGGAATTACTTTATTCCTGGCAAGTCAAAGAGCTATCTGAATATCAAGCCTAAATCCTATTTAAAAAAAAAAAAATATCACAGTATACATATAAACATGTCTTTCATTACTCCGAGTCTACAACTACAGCATAATGCATCAAATCGTTTTTAAATCGCTTTTTCCTGGTTCAAAATACTACATGCAGCTATTCATGGTGTTGGTGTTGATTTTGCCCACCATGCCATATAACCAGGTGGAAAAATTTGGGTTAAACATTTAAGTGTCTTTACTTCTAATTTATTTTTATCTTTGTTTTTGTAAAGTAGTTTTTTTTCCCAACGGCACATCTTCATTTCTAATTTAGTTTTTTTTTTGGACAATTCTTTATAGACATTTCAGTGAATTTGATTAAAAACAACATCTTTAGTTGGGAGTACATGTAAATATTCGGGCACCTCTGATGTAATGCATTCCAATTTACCTTGAAAAGAGGCTTATCTCCTTTACCCTTGATTAGAATTGTTTCCTTTATCACGTTTCAAGTTGATGACACAAGGCAAGTTAAACAGTTGACAAGCAAAAACTTCACTTAGCCAGCAGCTTGACTTTATTCAACAATGGTGTCAAGAAATCCTATACAATCGTGTGATTCAATATGGAACTGTACATATGCTGAAACAAGAAGCTGACATGCACAGCAAATGAGAAGCCAGCAGTCAACTTAACCTCGATGACGAAGAAATAAAAGAAAACCCCAAAATGACTCAGTTTCTTTTACCACGACCTTTTAACAACGTGGTTTGGCTTGCTAAAAGTCCTGTTTTTAATTTCATGAAAGGAGAGTTCACGTCTTCTCGCCGTAGACGGGCATAAGCCAATCAAGAAATGAAAACAGTGGCCTCGTGAAGTTAAAAGAGCCTCTGGTCCTGATAGAAAGGATGAGGAGGAATGATTGGTTTAATCCACGGGCCAGATCCACCAAGCAGAGGCCAGAGTTGGAGGGGTAACTTGTAGACACTTGGGAAGTTTACTATGGTGAGAAAGAGAAACAACAATCAGTTTTGTCTCAAGCTAATATCATCAAACACTTTTGCACACCATTATAAAAAAGCTTGAAGATAACATTTATCATGTCACCAGATTTTGTTAGATGCTTTCAAAAGCAATTGAAATGGTCCTTTTCTCCTCAATTTTGTCCTTTCCAGCCACCTTCCGGATGGCCAGACATTATGAGGAATATTACTGTTGCATCCTTGTGCAAACCCAGAGGCCACAAATTATGGCAACAGGCCTATCAGTGGATGCTTCACGAGAATGATTCCCTAAACACTATTTGCAAGCAATAATTTGAGCAGAGCATTCTAATCGTTAATATACAAGACAACTCTATGCAAACAAGACTGATGCAAAATGAATAGATAAAATAGAAATATCCATTTAGCATTACATTTGATTGGTTAAGTAAATCAACTAAAAGCCTTGTTTTTAATTTCACTAACATAACAGTTTAGAAGTTTAGGGCAGTAATTTTTTTAATAAATGTATGGCATTGACTGTAGCCGACCAATCACTTAGGGTAAAAACTTAAGCACTAACATACTGAGCGGCAACTGTACAACCAATGCTAATATCTATAGAAAATTGGTGTTGAAAGACACAAATTTAGGTCTAAAATCAGCTTGCTGTAGCCCATCCAGGATACGTACTCAGAACATTGGTTTGTTTTCATAGGTCATAACCTACAAAGGTGTCCTACGTTGGTCATCATTGTACGTCTGTAAGAGAGCTTTCACTTTAACTTCAAAAGTTTGGAGTCAGTAAGAAAGAAATGAACACTTTCCAGTGTTTCCCCACAGACTTACATTATTTGTGGCAGCATATATATGCAAATTCATTCTCTGCCAGCAGGAGGTGCTTGCAGAGCGGGAGAAATAGAGGTTTCCCCGGTAACGGCTGTACACATACGGAATTTGCCTTTTTTATTCATATACACAAAGCAGCGCTCCACTCACAAACGCTGCTTTATCAGGCATTACATGCAAGATGAAATGAAAATGACATCAAAAATTCTGAAGACAGTCGGTTTCCTTCAGAAATACAGTGATATAAAAAAACCCGCACCGGGTTTCGATTTTGAAACGTGCAGTGCTCATGTTTATTCAACGAAGTCAAAGCCATTTGGAAAATCTATGTGGCAGTCAGTTTTGATATTGTGGTGGCCGCCACAAATAAATCAATGTATGGGAAACACTGCTTTCACTCAGAAAGGATGCATTAAATGCTGCTCTTTTGAACTTTATATTCTTCAAAGGATCCTGAAAAAAATGATCAGTTTACACAAATATGAAACAGCAGTTTAACGCCAATATTAAAGGGGTCATATGATGCGATTTCATTTTTTCCTTTCTCTTTGGAGTGTTACAAGCTCTTGGTGCATAAAGAAGATCTGTAAAGTTGCAAAGACTAAAGTCTCAAATCCAAAGAGATATTCTTTATAAAAGTTAAGAGTTAGCCACACCTACCTAAAACGGCTCGTTCGAACACGCCCCCACATATCTACCTCACTATGTGGGAAGATTTGCATAACACCGCCCAAATGTTCACGCAAAGAAAGAAGACGTAACTTTTATTCTCGCTGTAGTATTGTAGTTGTTGCCGCCGCTGCCATGTCGTGAAGGCGCTGTGTGTTTCCTTGTGAAAGCGAAACTACTTCGTTTAGTCTTCCAAAAGAGGACGATATCCGCTTCGTCATACCTGGAGCTGATCTGTGCTGGTCGCTGAGGAAATACATCAACTGCACGCTGTGGATCGCCGGATCGGCTTTCACCATGGACAAAGCGGAGTCCAGCCCG